GGGGTTTGCTTCCTGTCCTGCTCACGGATCTATCCAAGCACCTAGTACAGCGCTTGGCAAACAGATGGTGAAGAAAGAAAAGAAAAAACCCACCACTTGCTGAGGAGCTTGGGTGGCTTGGTCAGTTAAGCATCCAACATCGGCTCAAGTCAGGTCAGGTCAGGTCAGGTGAGTTCAAGCCCCACACTGGGCTCAGAGCCTGGAGCCTGCTTTGGATTCTGTGTGTCCCTCTCTCTCTGCCCCTCCCTCGATCTCTCACTCTCTCTCTCTCAAAAATAAACAAACATAAAAAACAAAAAAAAGCACTTGTTAAACAGAACGGGTCAGGTCCTGATGATGGTGGGGATCCAGACAAGGGCCACTTCTCGGAGTTTCTCCCGCAGGAAAGCTCACAACGGTGCCCAGAGATCAACATTCACGTGTGCTACCTGCACCCCATAGCCGCGGACTGGAGCTGGAGTCAACGCCCACGGGGCGGAGAGTGCTAGAGGCTGCAGGTGCTCTTCCCAGGGAGTAGCACACAGCAGCCGGGCTCCGCACAACCCACTCCACTCGGACGCGGGCACACACATCCCTGGGACCCCTGGGGTGCTCACAGGGGTAGCAGAGGGGCTGCGAGTAAGGGGGTAGGAGGGCAAGAGCCGTACCTCCCGTGTCTCCTTCCTGCACCTCAGCAGCCTTGTGAATTCCCCCCAAGAACCTACTTCTCTCATAATGTAATCCAAACAGGAGAAATGAAGATCGATTTGTGAGGCAAGAACTCAGGCTGAAGGAACAGCTTGGGTTTCAGTGCAGAAGAAGTTTCCGGGTTGGGGTGCCTCAGTGGCTCAGTGGGTTGAGTGTCTGACTTTGGCTCAATTCATGATCTCAGGGTTTGTGAGTTCGAGCCCCGCGTTGGGCTCTCTGCTGTCAGCACAGAATCGACTTCAGATCCTCTGTCCCTCCCCCGAGCTCTCTCACTCTCAAAAATAAAACATTAAAAAAAAAAAAAAAAAAAAGAGTAAGTTTCCGGGTCACCAGCATTTGGCAAAGGGAAGGCACCCTATGCCCTATGCAGTCTCCCCAACTGAGGGCCATCACTAGGCCACCTCCCGACTAGTTCTCAAATCTGTCCCCTTCTCTCCAACTGCCACGGCCACTGCTCTAGTTTCTTCCCCTGAGCATGAGGTGTTTGAGTGTCCTCCACCGTGGATCATATATAGGAATTTCGCTCTTTCTGTGGCTGGAGAATAGCCCACCGTATGGGGGCACCACAGCTGCTGTGGCCATTCCTCAGCTGGTGAGCTCCACATGGGTCAACGAATATAATGCCGCTGTGAATGTCTGTGTGTGACTCCTTGTGCAAATGTATAGCTTCATTTCTCTGGAGTAATAAGCGGAATCACCAGGTCACATGGTAGCTGTATTTACATTTGAGGGACTGCCAGAATGTTTTCCAAAGCAGTGCTATCATTTCTCATTCCCACCGGCCATGTGTAAGAATTCAGATTTCTTGGGGCACCTGGGTGGCTTGGTCAGTTGAGTGTCTGACTCTTTTTTTTTTTTTTTTACTTTTTAAAAAATGTTTATTTTTGAAAGAAGGACAAAGCATGAGCAGGGAAGGGGCAGAGAGAAAAGGAGACACAGAATCCAAAGGAGGCTCCAGGCTCTGAGCTGTCAGCACAGAGCCTGACATGGGACTCGAACTCATGAACTGTAAGATCATGACCTCAGTTGGACGCTTAACACTCAGGCACCCTGAGTGTCCAACTCTTGACCTCGACTCAGGACGTGATCCAACAGTTCAAGGGATCAAGCCCTGCGCTGGGCTCTGTGCTGACAGTGCAGAGCCTACTTGGGGTTCTCTCTCCCCCTCTCTGGTCCTCCCTGGCTTGTACTCTCTCTCCCTCTCTCAAGATTAATAAACATCCTCTCCCGCACTTCCTATGGTCCTACTCTTTCATAACTGCCATCCTGGACATGAAGTGGAACCTCACTGTGGTTTTGGTTTGCACGTCCCTCGTGGCTAATGCTGTTGAGCATTCTGTCACATGCTTATTGGTCATTTACAGGTCGTCTCCCTGCCACCATGGTCCCTTCCCGGGATCACCACAACAGCGTCCTCCCTGGCGGGGAGGCAGGGCTGTTTGCTCTTTTCTCCACCCGGCAGTCAAGTGGCGGCAAACACGTGGGTCAGACTATAGCCCCGCTCTGTTCAAAGCCTTGCGGTTGCTCACTGCTCCCTCAGAGAAAAGGGGAGAGTTCTCACCATGGCTGGGAAGGCCCTGCATGAGACCCCCCTCACCTCATCCCCCCTCCCTTCCAGCCACACTGGCCCCTGCAGTTCCTCCGACTCTGTTCCCACTGCTGCCTGGAATGCTCTTCCTCTGATAAGCCTAGAGCTCACTTCTTGCCTTCCTTCCAACCTGGGTTCAAACGACACCTGCTTGGCGAGGCCTATGCTGGCCGCGTGGCCTAACACTTGCATGAGCTAGTGTCGCAGGCCCCTCCCTGCACTCCCTGGTTCAAGGTTCCTGCTCCCCCTACACACCCCAAGTTTTACACACGTGTCGCCCTGTTTGATGTGTGCCGTGGCCCGCTACAGTCAGCCCCACCTGGGCAAAGATCTTTGTTTCCCGAGGTACCCTGAGCACCCAGAATGGTGCCAGCACATGGGAGGTGCTCAGCAAATAGGTGCTGAGCGGATGAACACCTCTGAGCCATCAGGCACCCTGCTGGAGGCAGAGGACGGAGTCGCTGCTCTCTTGGAGCTCATCTAACCAGAGGCGACATTGGTAAACGCGTCCTAAGTGACCAGGAAATGACAAATTCCACCAGAACGGGATCAAAGAGGGTGGAATAAGCGAGCACGACAGCAGAAAGCTCTCCAGGCACAGGGGACCCACGCACAACTGTTCTCAGGTGAGACAGCTTGGGGGATACCGGGGACCAACAGAATGGCAGGCCGGGGGGGCTTCGGGGACAGTGTGCTGACGGCAGCTTGGGGTTCAGTCAGAATGTAGCCGGGCAGAGGGCTCCTGTGAAATTTCCAGCAGGGACGGTGCATGTCAGGATCAGGATTCCAGGGGGTGTAAACAAGGACCTACCCAAGGGCCACTCAGGCCACTACCTGCTCGTGTAACCAAAGCCCAAGCGGAACACAGCCACCCCTTCCATCTTCACGTCGGCTCGGCCACTAAAGCAGGGCTGAGCAGTGGGTGGGACAGAGACGGATGGTCCGCAGAACTGGAAGCCTTTATGAAAACGTCTGCTGACCTCAATTTTAAGGTGACCATTCAGCAGGTAGGCGACCCCCTCTCCCCCACAGCAGGTCCTGTGCACTTTCACCCAAGCCCACCCCCTCTCCTGACCCTGACTGCCACAAACCTGCTCAGCACCACATCATCCCCACCTCCAAGGCCGCCATCACCTCCTCCTCTGCCTCTCTGTTCTTGCCTGGATGGCAGCTGGGGCCGCGTCATGCTCCAAGCCTCCAGGGGCTCCTCCTTGATTGAAAGAAAGAACACTGTTCTGCTCACCGCGGCCTGGACCGGAGGCCTGCCCCTTCCCTTCCCTCTGTCAAGGTCCCCCTCCCTCCCTGACCCCCCCATGTCCCCTCCCCCGGTCTTCATCCCGCTCCCACAGCACACTACACACTGGCTGGCTTGCCTGGCTCCCCCAGGAGACCAGGGCTTCTGTCCCTTGTTACCCTATGCCTATTCCAAAAGCATCGTGCCTGCACACGGCAAGTGCTCCCATCCAGGGCCGAGTCCCGCTGCGACGGCAGGTGCTCCCATCCAGGGCCGAGTCCCGCTGCGACGGCAGGTGCTCCCATCCAGGGCCGAGTCCCGCTGCGACGGCAGGTGCTCCCATCCAGGGCCGAGTCCCGCTGCGACGGCAGGTGCTCCCATCCAGGGCCGAGTCCTGCTGCCATCCGCCGGGCAGGGCTGCCGCACGCAACGGAACGAGGGCGGTGGCGTCCGTGCTGCATAATGACCGCCACTATGGGCCCGGTTGTCTTCTGGATGCATCCTTGCAGCGGGACCGGGCTTGGCTACCATACCGCCTCGGCCTCGGCCCTGCTCGGGGGCGCGACTGAGGCCCCCGAGCCCCTGCTTCCCTCAGGGTCCACGTGCACCCCTCGGCCAGACTCCCCGGCACCCGGCCGGCTGAGCCTGGGGGCCAGCGGGGGCTTGCCAGGGCGTGGCGGGGCCTCCACGCGGGCCGCTCACGGCCACAACCGTGGGGCGCCGCTGCAGGAGCCCGGGCCTCGCGCGCGAGGGAGGCGGTTCAGGGATCTTCCCGGGCGCGCGGCGGGCGCCCAGGACACGGCGAGGACAAGGGGACACCGCGCCCCGGCGCGGGGCTGCAGGGCGGAGACCGACGACCACTGGAGGGCAGGGCCGGGCCCCGACCTCCTTCCCGCGCATCCCGAGGGGGCCCAGCGCCCGCTTCCCGCGCAGGGAAGCTGAAACCCGGCGACGTGATTGCTGCCCGGGCAGGGTCACCGGCCACAGGCGGCCCAGCCCTCAAAAGGCCGCGCGGCCTGCTCGCCCGCGACACATGACACGGGTCGCGGAACAGGGCCCTCACAAAATGGCGCCTCACAGAAAAACGCGGCCGCCTCCCAGCGCCCATCCCCGCCTCGGGCTGAGGAGCGGGCGCGGGCGGCCGCGCACACCGAATTTGCATATACAAAACCGACGAACTTCGTTGGCTGCGAGAGGCTGGGCCCGAGCTAGGCAAGGCCTCCATTGGCTCCTCTCCACTCCTTCCCGACCCCTCCCACCCGGCACCGCCTTCTCCACCGACTGGCGCGTAGGAGCCTCGTGACGCCATTCCATGAGTCCGTGTTCCCATTGGCCAGTAAGCCTTCCGTCATCCGTTTAAACCCCCCTAGAGTCCCGCCCCCCCATGCCCCGCCCCGGCTTCGCGGCCGACCGTTACTCGCGGGCGCGGTTTCCTGGGCGTCAGGGCACGCGCGCGTACGCCGGGCCGAGGAGGCGTCTCATTCAAACGGCCCAATCAGCGGTCGCGTTGCCCCTCTCTTCCTCTCCTTCTCTACTCTCCCGCCTCAGAGCCATTCCCGCCCCCATTCTCCTGGGACCCCATTACGACCCCCCCACGCGTCCCCATTGGCGACCCACCGTGCGCCCCCCTCCCCAACTTCTCCTGCTTCTGCCCGCAGCTTGCGGGACGGGCGCGAGCGCCTCCAACGCCGAGGACCTTGCGCGGTGACGTCACGGGTCGAGGCGCGGCGCCCCGGGGCCGCGGGGGAGGTGTGGCCTACGGGCGGCTATAAAAGGGCGGCGGTGCGCGCGCGACCGGCTCAGTGCGGCTGGGCGCTTGGGGCAGGAGGGGTTTTGGGTGCGCTCCGCGGCGGGCGTCGGAGCCAGCGGGGAGTGGAGCGGGGCCGCTGGGGCCTCCCCAGGGCCGCAGCGGCAGCAGTTGGGCCCCCCGCCCCAGCCGGCGGCCGGCAGAGCGCAGGAAGGGGGCCGGGGGGGACCCGCCCCCGGCCGGCCACAGTCATGGTGAGTGCGGAGGCCAGGCCCGGGAGGGGCGGTCAGGGGCCCCCCTAGAGGAGGAGGCGGGGTCCCAGGAACCTCTCGCGGACTCCCTGGAGGATCGAGGTGGGGGCCAGCCTGGGGTCCCGGGCCTGTGATGGTCCCGCGGGCCTTCCTGGAGGCGGGGAAGGAGCAGAGCCTGGGCGGCCCGCAGGTTCCCCGGAGGGGAAGGCCCGGCTGAGTCCCATAGAGGGCTCTGGGGCTTTGTGGCTCGCCCGTGGGTGTTCCGGGAGCAAGGACGCTCCGCCTCCATCTCCAGGCCCGAGCTGGGCTCTCGAAGATGGTTTCACCAAGGTTAGGTAGGGAGGGGGACCAGGGTAGGTAGGCCTCCAGCGTACCCCGAATCATTGGGGACCATATCTGATTGTGAGCAAGATTTGGGGACTTCTGGGGAAGGTGGAAGCATCCACAAGTCCCTCGGAAGGCCTGTCCCCGTTTCTAGTGGGAGGTCGGCCTTGGACAGCCATCTGAAGCATACTGGCTGGGGGATCTGGGACTGTGGGGTCAACACCAGGGTGACCACTGCATCCTTAGATCCAGGAGGCCCCAGCTCCGTCAGCTACTCACCCCTTCTCTTCTGTGCCCAGAACTCCAATGTGGAGAACCTGCCCCCCCACATCATTCGCCTGGTGTATAAGGAGGTGACCACGCTGACTGCCGACCCACCTGATGGCATCAAGGTCTTCCCCAACGAGGAGGACCTCACTGACCTGCAGGTCACCATCGAGGGCCCTGGTGAGTGTGGGCAGGAGCGCTTGTGGATTCTTCCTCTTTAGTACAAAACTAGGTTGGAAAGAAAGACAAATTCCACACGATTGCACTTGTACGTGGCATCTAGAAAACAAACGAACAGACCAAAAAGCAGAACTAGAACAATAGGAAGGAAGCTCTGGTTATGAGTTGGACTCTGCCGAGTACTGGGGACACAGTGATGGGCCAGAGTCCCCTCTTAGTCTCTGGCGCTCATAGCTTGCAGCACAAGTAACCACTAACTGTGTAGATGTTTCCTGCAAGGTGGTAAGAAAACCCTGGCCCCCCCGAGAGAGTATTTAATGGGGGCATTAGCAGGGTTTGTCAGGTAGGGATTCTCGGGGGCCACAGACTCCTTGCTGTCATGTCCGGGACCCACAGGAGAGGACAGGGAACCAGCCCGAAGCGGCGTTGGGAGAGGGAGCCGTGATAACCGGGTGATTAGGGGCGGTGGTTTAACCGTGCGGTGATTAGTGTGCTTTTTCTAGAGAGTGAGACAAGGCTGCGAGAGCGCACGGGGAAGGCCCAGGGCAGGCGTGGGACAGTGGCGAGGGGGTCAGGGAAGACTTCTGAGTGATTCACGCAGTGCTCCCCAATAGCCCAGGTCCTACGGCAGGCGCCGCTGTGCTTTGTAGGGACAGAGAGAAGAGACAGGGAGCAGAGGAGTCTGTAAGGAGTTGAGAAAGGAAGCCTTTGGTGGATTTGAAGCAGATGTGGCTGCAGTGTTCTTTGGCAGGGAGGGGGCGGTCAGGAAGCCATTAACGGCTGGCCTCGGGAGAGAGGTGGGCTTGGAGGTGGGGTCAGATGCAGACTGGGGCACGAGGGACAACGGTGGCTCCGGAACCACTCCCTCTGGTGTGTGTGCACCATGAGCAATGGGTGGCCGGGCACCATTCACGGAGGCGGCCGGGCCGACCTGGAGTTGACAGAACAGTCCGTGGTTTCCAGGAAGACCAGTGGGTGGGAGCGTCTGCCCTTGGGAAGGGGACAGGAGGAGGCTGGGGGTGGCTACCAGCGCCGGGTCAGGGCCAGCACCCTGAGGCCGGGAGCCCAGCCCCACGCTGCGCTCACCGAGGCCTCAGTGTGGCGGGGGAAGTGGCAGGCCACTTGGCTCACAGCCGGACTGGAGACTGAGCGTCCTGACCCGGCCCCCCTCCCGCACTCCAGAGGGGACCCCTTATGCCGGAGGCCTGTTCCGCATGAAGCTCCTGCTGGGGAAGGACTTTCCCGCCTCCCCGCCCAAGGGCTACTTCCTGACCAAGATTTTCCACCCCAACGTGGGCGCCAACGGTGAGATCTGCGTCAACGTGCTCAAGAGGGACTGGACGGCGGAGCTGGGTATCCGGCATGTGCTGCTGGTGAGTTCGGCAGGGGGGTGCGGGGCGGACCTCCCCCTCCTGGACACCCCTGTGGTGCCTGCGCCCTGGTGTATTCTTTCTGTTTTAAGATAAACTCTGAAGTTGTTGGGGGCTTCTTTGTAAGAATCCGGGTTTCTGGCTGGAAAGTTCTGGAAGGGATGGCAGTGCTTGACCCACTGAGCGTGGTTATATAGGTTGTGCCGTGCCTGGTGTACCTCTGCTGTGGAACACACCACACCACGGGTTTGTGCAGTGAACGCTTGCTTGATGGAGGAAGCCAGGCATGGCGGGGGCGGGGGGGGGGTGTTCAAGCTATACTTTACGGTATGAAATTCCACGGCCCAGACCGTACAGTTCCCTGGTCACTCGGGAGTCACAAAACCTGTGCAGCCGTCACCGCAGTGGTTCACAAACTGCCATTTCCCAGCCAGGAGCGATTTTGCCCCAGCAGGGACATTGTGTGTTTGGAGGCTCTTTACTTGTCGCATCTAGTGGGGGAGACCTGGTGCTTGTGCGGCTCTGCGGCCCCACAGGGCGATTCACGGACTGAGCCCGGATGGAGACACCCGTCGTCTCACTGCCACCAAGGCATTAAAGTCACCTGCTGCCTCCCCACCCCACTCACAGCTTAAGAAAGGTTTCTGTGGGGCACCTGACTGGCTCAGTCACTAGAACCTGTGACTCTTGATCTTGGGGTCATGGTGGGCATGGAACCTACTTTATTTTTTTTACTTATTTTTAAATTTTTTTTATAGTTTATTTTTGAGACAGAGACAGAGCATGAGTGGGGGAGGGGCAGAGAGAGAGGGAGATACAGAATCCGAAACAGCCTCCGGGCTCTGAACTGTCAGCACAGAGCCTAACGCAGGGCTCGAACCTACGAACTCTGAAATCATGACCTGAACCGAAGTCGGAAGCTTAACTGAGCCAGCCAGGCGCCCCTGGAACCTACTTTTAAAAAAAGAAAAATTTTTTTTTTGAAAATGGGATTGCTAAGAAGCCCCGGGGCAGATGGTGGGGGGTGGGGAAAGTTTCCTGCAGGGCACTTGGGGAGGATCAAGCTCCAAGGTAAACATACTTTCTCCTCCTCTCCCTGGAGTGTCCTCTGCGGCTGCCAGAGACACTGGAGATGAGCTCACAGAGTGACTCTGTGTCCCCAGTGATCCCTAGGAGCTTGGGTCTGGGCTCAGCCACGCCGGAGTGGCCTGTGCTTGTGGGGTCAGAGCTTCGAATTTGGGTGTGGTCCTGGGTCCCTGCTCGGCATTGGTGGCGTTTGCCAGGCCACGTGCTTTGCATGTCACAGCAGCAGGTGAGCTCCGTTTGATGGCAAGAAAGATCAGGTCACCTGCCTGAAGCAGGTTGGGTGCACTGCAGGCCCCTGTCCGTAGCGGCTGAAAGGGGAAGTGGGACAGACCCCACCTTAGGGGCCGCAGCTGGTCCCGCCCCACCTCCCACTCCACCAGGGTGGCTTCTGTGTACCCCTCAGCTAAAGGGGGTCCATGAAGGGGTTTTGGGATCGGCTCCCTTCCTACACCTCCCTCTGGATGCCCCTCACAGGCCCGGCCGCCTTTATTTACACCCTGGTGCCTTTCTGGGGTCCGGCGCACCCACCGGAGTCGGGCTTTCACTTGGGATTCCTGGTACATCCCGCGACCGCCCTGGGGGTTTCTGTGGAGTCCCAGCAGGCGCCGGAGTGACTTCCTAAATTGTCCCCCTTGCTTCCCGAGGTCACTTGGGAGCTCCTTCCCTCCCCAGTCCCGGCCTCGGTCACAGGGGACACTGCGTGAGCTGGGCCAGCGTCTGATTGGGGGGCGGTGTCGGGAATGGGGAGCGGCAGGCCTGGAGGCCACGAGGCCCAGCCGCCTGAGCCTGGCCCTCTGCCCACAGACCATCAAGTGCCTGCTGATCCACCCGAACCCCGAGTCTGCCCTCAACGAGGAGGCCGGCCGCCTGCTCCTGGAGAACTATGAAGAGTACGCCGCCCGGGCCCGCCTGCTCACGGAGATCCACGGGGGCGCCGGCGGGCCCAGCAGCGCCGAGGCCGGCCGCGGCCCCCCCACCGGCCCCCTGGCCCCCGGGGCCCCGGGAGGAGCCGACGGCCCCATGGCCAAGAAGCACGCCGGCGAGCGGGACAAGAAGCTGGCTGCGAAGAAAAAGACAGACAAGAAGCGGGCGCTGCGGCGGCTGTAGTGGGCTCTTCTCCCAGCCCTCCCCCCCCCCCCCGACCCCCAACTCTGTCTCTAAGTTATTTAAATTATGGCTGGGGTGGGGGAGGGCATGGGGGCACCGGGACCTGGATTTGTTTTTCTAAATAAAGTTGGAAAAGCAGCTGCTGTGCCTCAGACCCGCTGGGACCGCTGCATCTGCCACACGGGTGCCCCCCCCCCCGTAAGTCCCCGAGTAGGCCGCTCGTCCTGTGGTAGCGGGGGGGACCCCGATTTCCCATCTAAAGGGGGGCCAGGCCTGCTCTTTTTTTTTTTTTTTTTTAATGTTTTATTTCTTTTTGAGAGAGAGACCGCGTGAGCAGGGGAGGGTCAGAGAGAGAGGGAGACACAGAATCTGAAGCAGCTCCAGGCTCTGAGCTGTCAGCACAGAACCCGACACGGTGCTCGAACCCACGAACTGTGAGATCATGACCTGAGCCGAAGTCGGACGCTTAACCGACTGAGCCCCCCAGGCGCCCCTGCTCTTGATAGTTGGTACCCTTGTGTGTTCCTGAGGTAGGTGCGTGGCAGCGTCCCTTCCTTCCCCGGACATCCAGGTGACCAGTGTGGGGAAGCCGCTGGCTCCTCCGCACCGGATTCTGCTCCGGGCGGCAGCGTGTGTTCTGCGTGGCCAACCCCAAATCCTAGGCCCCAGGTGACGCCCATCCCCCCGTCTCTGTGGGCCCCGGGTGTGGGGAGCTGGTGCAGCTGCCGGAGCGTCGTGCCGTCCACGGTCCTGTCTCCCGTCTGCAGGCCCCCAGGGTTCCCTCCTGACTGGGTTTCAGCTCATAGGAGCCAGAGGCTGGCCTCCACTCTTGCAGCTCAGGTGCCCCGCCCAAGGGCCAGCTCCTGAAGGGCTCTGCTGACTGGGAGAGGCCACCCGGTGCCCCTGCTTAACCCCAAGCACCTGTGACCTAATTCTAGAAGCCACATTGACAGGTTCTGCGCCACCACTCCAGGGGAGGGGTCGTGGGGGCAGGAGGGCCTGGGGCAGGTCATGGTGTACACAGCAGGCGCCTTCACTGGCCTGGCCTGCTGGCTGGCGGTCATTGTTGCAGACTGGGCGGGGCAGTGGAGGGGCAGAGGTCAAGTGTGCAAAGCCTGTCGGTGGGAGGGTGGGAGGAACGCTTGAAGGCAGAAGCAGGGGGGGGGCAGCCGGCTGCCTTCAGAGTGGCTTGCTGTCCGTTGACCGGGTTCTGTGGTCCTCTGTGTAAGAGTATGGAAAAGAAACACATGGCTACATAAAGACTTGTGCCTGCACTTTCACAGTTGCTCCCTTTCTAATGGACAAAAAGAAACCATCCAAAGGTTCAATGGAGAGAATAAAATGGTGAGTTCATAGAATGGAATACTACTCAGCAAGATACTAACACAAAAACCAGCTCGGATGGATCTCAAAAATACTCTTTGCTAAGTGAAGCCAAATACAGAAGTGTACAAAATACCTGTTCCACTTACGATTGAATTCTGGAACCGGCAATATTAGTCACTAGTGGCTGAGAGCAGGTCATTGGCTATCTGCGATCAAGGAGGACAAAAGTACAGGGTCAGGGGAACTTTCTGGAGTGATGAGTATATCCCAGGTCTTGATCGTATCAGTGGTCACACAGGTGCATAAATTTGTCAAGACTTAAACTAAAAAAGGTATTTTTGTGTAAACCATACCAGTGAAGTTTAATTTTTTTAAACCAATAACTCCTTTATCTAGAGTAGAAAATAAGTCAGTGGGACAGAAGATATTTGCAAGACATAACCCAAAAGTACTAATCCAAAGAGCCCCTACAGATCAATAAGAAAAAGACAACAGAAAAGAGGTTGGTAAAAGCACTCACATCACAAAAGAGCAAATACAAAAGATCCTCCTTGCTGGTAGTTGAGAAAACGCAGTGTAGCCAACGCTGATACCACTACACTCCCACGGAACTAGTAACAGTTGTTTGTGTCTAACAAAAAATACCAAGGTTGTGGAGCCACGGACCCCGTCGTGTGGCCCCGGCGGGAGCAGGAAATTCTAACATGCACGTGGGAACGAAAGCTCGCATACCTTGTTCTCGGCATTCTTGCACGCACACCGCGGGCTTAAAACATCTCCTCATTACACGCTCCGTAAACACTGTTGTGTGTTCCAGAAACAATAGCATAGGACAAAAAATGAACTACCACTGCTCCCAGCAGCATGGAAAGATCACAAATATGATCAGCCAGACCCACAAGTCACAAAAGATTCCCACAATTCAAATACCTTCGTGCACAATTTCAAAGCAGGCAAAAATAAGTTGTACTGCTCAACATACATATGTAGGTTGTAAAACCATAAAGGTAAAAGATTGTCTGCATAAAGCTGGGAATTCTGGTTACCTTAAGCTGGTAAGAAACCCAGGAGGTCTGGGGAGCAGGTAGTCCTGTTTATTTGGATGTTGGTTACATGGGTGCTTGCGTTATAATTGTTTTCTCTATACACACACACTGTATTTCAGAATTTTTAAATTTTTTTGATGTTTCTTTTTGAGAGAGAGAGAGAGACTGCAAGCAGGGGAGGGGCAGAGAGAGAGAGGGAGACAGAATCTGAAGCAGGCTCCAGGCTCTGAGCTGTCAGTACACAGCCCGACCCAGGGCTCGAACTCACAAACCATGAGATCACAACCTGAGCTAAAGTCGGATGCTTAACTGACTGAGCCACCCAGATGCCCCTCAGAACTTTTAAAACATAAAAAATTTAAAAAAATTTTAAAAACTCCTCATTATGTGTGAATATGGACCAATGTCCAAACTAGATTAGGTGGAAATAAAGAAAAATACCAACATGAAACAGTGCAAATGTTCCCATTTCTATTAATTTTTTAAAAATTTATTGTTTAAAATAGGATATGTGTTACTTGCTTGCATATGCATTCAAAGCTTCTGGAAGGTTACTTTAAAAAAATTTTTAATTTTTTTTATTTATTTCTGAGAGGAGAGAGCGTGAGCAGGGGAGGGTCAGAGACAGAGGGAGACACAGAATCTGAAATAGCCTCCAGGCTCTAAGCTAGCCGTCAGCACAGGGCCCGATGCGGGGCTCAAACCGTGAGATCAGGACCTGACCCAAAGTCATACACTTAACTGAGCCACCCAGGGGCCCCCGGAAGGTTACCCTAGAACCTGCAAATATTAATTGCCTCAAAGAAGGAGAACTTGGGATACCTTGTGAATGTTACTCTTTCAAAAAGCAAAGATGTGCTTTTTTTTTTTTTCCTTAGATAAAAGTTTCTACAAAGAAACAGCTCCTTCTAATTCCTATCTCCCCAACGCCTGGTTCCCTTCATCAGGGACAACAGTGTCTATTTTTCTGGAGAGATTGTACACAAGTGCAAGCAGATTCGCATATATATCCTGTTAAGCCCGCCCCTCTGATTCTCACGCAGCACCCTGGGTCCCTACAGCGCAGGCCGCCCCTTGCTTTCCCAACTTCCCCCGGGGCTGTGGAAGTCCGTCCAAACCAGCACTTCTTGCTCTCGGCTGCCTAGTGTCCCACCCCATGCGTGTGCCACGACTTCCCACGTCCAGTACTGATTGACCAACACGCTGGCACGAGTAGTCTTTGGAAACGGGCCGCGTGGCACACGAGGCAGGATGCCTTGAGAGCAAATCTTATACACGACGTTACTGTGCCAAAGTAACGTGCAAACATTTGTTTTCAGTGCGCACAGGTACCGCCTAACCGTTCCCCGTGGGGTTTGCACCAGTTCATGCTGTTAGCAAAATGTGTCCGTTCCCCCACGCCCTCACTCGCGCTTGGATTTTTACCCAACATTTGGATTCTTCCCAATCTGAGAGTTACAGACTCCGTAACTCATGAGATCATGACCTGAGCCGAAGTCAGACGCTTAACCGACTGAGCCACCCAGGTGCCCCTAACAGGCTTTATTTTTATTTTTTAATTTTTTTTTTTTTTTAATTTTTAGGAGAGAGAGAGACAGCGTGAGCAGGGGAGGGTCAGAGAGAGAGGGAGTCACAGACTGAACAGGCTCCAGGCTCCGAGCTGGCAGTCAGCACAGGGCCCGACGCGGGGCTCGAACCCACGAACCGCAAGATCATGACCTAAGCGAAAGTCAGACGCCTAACCGACTAAGCCACCCAGGCGCCCCTAACAGGCTTTATTTTTTAGAACAGTTCTGGATTTCCGTCTCTCCCATAAATACTATATGAAATGTAGATACTTGGGCACCAGGGTGGGCCAGTCAGTTAAGCATCCAGCTTCAGCTCAGGTCACAATCTCCTGGGGGCTCGGAGCTGACAGCGCACAGCTTGCCTGGGATTCTCTCCTCTCGCTGCCCCTCCCCCATGGGCCCGCATGTGTGCACACTCACTCTTGGTCTCAAAATTAAAAAAAAAAAAAAATGTATATGCTAAAGCAAATGTGCTGGTGGTGCTGGAAGAGCGCCTGGAGCCAGCGGGGAACACACAGCCAGGACCGGCTAACTCAGCAGGCTGCTCAAACCCCACACGTGCACGTGGGATGCACTGGGGTATTTGGGAAGTTTCCAGAAATGATACACTACGAACAGCTTGTGGAACCAGGGGCTGGGATCCTGGGGCCCCTTTGCCCCAGGACACTCTTCCATTTGCACATCTCCAAACCACACGCACATGTTATTTTCATAATAAAGAGTTTAAAAGAATAGATGGTGGGGCGCCTGGGTGGCTCAGTCGGTTGAGCGGCGGACTTCGGCTCAGGTCATGATTTCGTGGTCCATGGGTTCAAGCCCAACGTCGGGCTCTGTGCTGATGGCCCAGAGCCTGGAGTCTGTTTCAGATTCTGTGCCTCTCTCTCTCTCTGACCCTCCCCCGCTCATGCTCTGTCTCAAAAATAAACGTTAAAAAGAAAAAATAGATGGTTTTATTCCAGCAAATGACTACAAGAGAAACGAAATCAACAAAATCGCTGGACAGCCTGGTTCAGAATCCTGCAGAGGATGTCATGACCTTCAACACAGGAGGCCAGGGCCGCTGGTGCAAACTTGTAACCCCAGGGTATCAGGGCATATGGACTTGGAGTGTGTGCTCAGTGTCCTGGAGAACATGAGTATTGTTTTCTGCGCGGGCAGAGTCACACACACCTCCGACGGTCTGAGCCCACCCAGTCAAAGTAATTTATAGTAAGACACATTCGTTCACGCAATGGCGATTTGCAGGCATGACATGGCGGGCCTCCTCCTAAGCTTTTTGCACACTGTATCTTCTCAACAGCCTTGGGCAGTAGGGGCTGTTCATGTACACGTCAGATGAGCGAAGGAGGGCATAGGGAAGTTGAGGAATTTGCCCAAGGTTGCAGAGCCAGGGAGGAAAGATGCAAGCAAATTTGTGTGTGTGTTGTGTGTGTGTGTGTATGGACACACACGCCTCTCAACACCTGATGTGCCAGTGCCGGTGTAGACACAGCACAATCAGGGCCAGCCTCTCCTGTGAAGAGAACAGATCTCTCTCAGCAGAGGCCCCCTGCTCTGAGTGGCCCTGTGTGCGACAGTCACCGAGGATGCGTACTATCCTCAATGCTGCAAACGTTCTGAGAGCTGGCTCTGGAGACGCAGCAGCAAACAAAACCACAATCTGTTTTGTGGAGCCCTAAAGATTCAGGCACTTGACATGCTCCTATCTCACAAATGGGGACATGGAGGCATTGGGCCACCAGGGGACCCACCCACAAAGGGGGTGCACAGACAGCCCCTGGAGGGAGGGCTCCTGCCGACAGACAGGGGCCTCTGTGGGATGCCTCTGGCCACAGGGGTCTGGAGTGGGGACGGGAACAGGGGGTGGCCTCCTGAACAGTAGGGACCAGGGGTCTTCTGTGCCATGTCCTTATCTGTGGCATACCAGCTGGCACAGGGTGGGCATGGGGAAACCTGTCAGGGCAATGACAATGGTGACCCCTTCCCACCCGTGACACCTGCTTTGTGGAGTGCCAGGGTAGTGGGCGAAATGGACACTCCACGTGTACACATGCAGATCTGCATGTAGACGCGTCCAGCTTCTTGCTGTGCTCGCCTTCTAAAATTTTTTAATGTTTTATTTATTTCTAGGAGAGAGAGAGAGACAGCGTGAGCAGGAGAGGGTCAGAGAGAGGAGTCACAGACTGAAACAGGCTCCAGGCTCTGAGCTGGCAGTCAGCACAGAGCCCGACGCGGGGCTCGAACCCACGAACCGCGAGATCATGACCTGAGCAAAGTCGGATGCTTAACCGACTAAGACACCCAGGCGCCCCAGTGTGCTCGCCTTCTAGAACACCAAACACCCACTGCTATTCAGCACTTGCCCTGTGCAAGCCAGTCCACTCCATTCTGACAAGAGGCACAGAAAGGTCTAGTTACATACACAGAGCCACAGAGCTTGTGGCTGAGCTGTTGGTGGGACGCAGGCAGCCAGTGCCCAGGCCTAGCAGCCATCACCAGTTGTTAAACACCAAGAAGCAAGGGGTGGAAGCTACCAGAAGCTACTTTAGTTCTGCAGAATGTGAGACCAGGGGTGGCCTGGGAAAGGGGGTTGGGGTGGGGTGTGTGTGTGCG